ATAAGTAAACGTTATTGGGTCAATACTTTTCAATGACTCAAGGGAGCGCACTAGGGTTGTCATTTATTCGTGTTTAAAATTATTCGAATAAAAATGTACTATATTTTTTCATTCGAGTAGTCGATTAAATTTTAAAAATTATTCGATTTTTCGAACGATACAAGTTTTTATTCGAACAATTTAATAAAATATAAATAAAACTTGCCAAACACCTTAAGATACTGGTAAAAACGGTTTTCGTACATTAATACTTTAACCTGTCTACCTGTTTTGCAGACTTTTTTATATAAGAAAATCCTACTACTTATTAATGTATTAGAAACAGGCCACTATCGGGCCTGTTGTGCGCTGCTTTTCATTGAAGAAAAATGTTTGTTGTTAAAAAACAACATAGTGTCCACTGAATGTATTATCTTTCAATGTTCTGAAACTCAGTTTCCTCAGTTTCCTGGCTAGAATTACTCCAATTACACTTTTATAAAACCACTAAAGACCCCATTTCATACCCCGGTTCTCCTACATATCGCCCAGCATCGATATTCTTTTTTGATCCTATCCTCCATGTGGTTTCTCCATCTTAATTTTCGGTGAAGGGGGTTACACCCTGTCTATCAATATCTTCTTGCCTGTTTCACTTATTGCAAATATTAAAAAAAATTAAGAGAATCACTTTTAAAACTAGCCCCATTTTATTTTTTACATTGCTAAACATAGATTTTTATAAACTAAAAAAAGTTGTTAAAGTTTTGTTGCAATTATAACATATATTTTTATTTGGATTTGTTTTACAAAATATTAACATAATTTCAATGCTATGTTTAACTTTCAAATGTTATTCGATTAATCAACAAAAATTGTTCGAATTATTCTTTATTCTAAATTGGAAATTTTTTTATTCGTTCGAAGAAAAACAAAATTTTTTCCTCGATTAATCGGATAATTTGTATTCGATTGACAACCCAAGAGCGTTTATTAGAGGTTTATCCAGATTTTTGGTAAATCTTTTCTGTTGTTAGAATTAAAAATATGTTTTATTGGATCTAAATCCTATAACGGGAGCGGCCAATCCTGAACAACTTATAACATTACTTTAAAGGTGTCTGTTCTAGATAATGATCAGTTCCTCCTGTGCAGCAAAAATATCCATGCTTAGAATCTATGAAACTTCAGAGATGGTATTTAAAATCCTGGGAGCATCATATTTCCTTATCCTGATGCAGTAATCCTAGCTCGACCATCGGTCCTGAGCAATAGAGTGAAATTTGTCTATAATCCGTCGTTTTATTTGCCAGTTAAATTCAGTTTGACTGCAGTGCACATAGCCATTTCTTTGACTAGAAGGCCAACTGGTAGCCAATTGAGCATATTGAACAACGCCTTTGAGGGAGTTATATGTAGGGCACTGGTGATGAGTAGTGCAGAAGATCTTACAACCTTTTCCAGATGTTGCCTGTGTGACGCTTTTTCAAGCACGTACCACCAGACAACTACCCCATACAGCATTATCGGTTTGATGACAGCCTCAAATAACCAATGAACATTTCTCAAATTAACTCCCCAGCATGTGCCAATGGCCTCCCTACAAACATATAACGCCGTAATGGCTTTAGATGTTGTGGAGAGCACATTAGTGCTTCAACATAGCTTCTTATCTAGGATAACGTCCAAGTATTTTGCGATATCCAAAAGCTTTAATACCTCGCCGTTTAGCCGAGGAAGAGGAAAAAGAGGGGTCTTGTATTTTCCAGAGACTAGGACAAGTTTCGTCTTACTTGGATTTACACTAAGCACATTCAAAGCTACATATCACATTGCATTTGGTCCATTGAACAAGAATATAGGGCCAAACAAAAGACAGGCTATGTATAAGTTCCGTAGTTAATGAACGACAAGATCTATGTTATATAGAAGATCCGAAGGGATAATACCATCAGCGCCCGGAGTGGTGAAGGTTAATCTGTGTTACCTTCACAATCTCCATGGTCAGGATCGTACACGACAGTTACGTCGACGTCCTCAGGATAAAAATCCCTCGAACTATCCTCGTCCTCCGCCACCTTCAGATTGCCAAAAAGATCTCCCATCAACCCTGTTTCTTTAGTTTTCTGAACCAGCGCCAGGTATGGACTGAACTCTGAACATACCCTATAATGGAAGGAAAATTCATCCATCGCAATTCAACCCAGCACACTTCTCATTTAACCGACACTCATTGATAACAACAACTCATTTCCAATGCCCCACAGTCACTCCTATGCGGGGTATCTGATGTCTCAGCGGGTCGGTACTTATTCCGAATTATAGACTTTAGCGTGATTCTCTTCCCGCGATTTTGGGTAAAATTTTGAAAATAAAAATAAATAAGAAAATTACTGTGGTGAACATGTCAGATTAATAAACTAAATTGTCGTTACCCAGCCCAGGGTTCACGTAAATCATGTTTTTTTTAATTTTTAACTCGAAATCTAAAAATACATTACTCTTTTTTAAGAACCGTTAATATTTTGTATTAAATAAAATTAATAAGATTTTTCAAACGTTCGATTTTGTGTTTGTTGGGTTATTTCGACTGTGGGGAATGCTCTAATACTACCATAAGTTTTTCTACTACTACATTCAGACGACTTAGATTTTTGACAACAGACTTAGTTCCTTGACTGCAGAGTTTTCCCTCTATGTACTCTATGATATTAACGAACGAATATAGATGAAATAAAAATATAAAAATTCAAATTAACCCTTAAACGTAAATATATTTTTATAATTATATAAAACGTCCGTAATATACATATGAACAAATATTCGATGCCTTTTTGCGAGAAAATGATAGGTAATAGAAAAAACAGATTGGTTTCAGCAGCTAAAATACATTGATAATGGACTAATTGGCTTCAAAAGTTTTTACAAACCTTTATTTCGTTGTCCTGTGTTATTGTTACTTTTTAGTTGTCGTTACTTTACCGATGCTTTTTGTTAACTATCGGCATTTTGCAACGAAAATACCGTTAAAAAATAATTCAGAATACCTCTTAACGACAATTATCGTTTACTTATGAAATTTTACTACATAACGACAATATTTTCGTTAAATAGTTAGATAATTGCGGTACAGATGTAGGCTTAAACAAATTGAAAAATCGGCGAATGTAGAAATTTAAATGTTATATATTTTTCATACAACTTTGTATAACTACATACAGCTGTGGTCAGCTAATTGGAAACGCTCTCGTTATATTACTGCTTGACGTGATTTGTATAAAATTATGAAAATATTACGTTAGATTTTTTGTTCGAAACACATGTATTTTATAAATTGCTGTTGTTATAATAAAATGGAATGCATTTTGTTGTGGAACATTTCTTATTTACTTTTCAATTTTAAATTTGGTGAAAATCGCCCAAAGCTAAATCAAAGAAATTGCGACAACTAATTGGAAACGGCCATATTTTATTAAAATTTTTTTTAAGTTAAATCTAATTTTGATAAAAAATGTAATTGCATTTGGGTATATATTGTTTCTAATTTATAAGAAATTTTACATCATTATTTTTAGGCTAAGAATGAAAATAGGCCAAAGAAATTCTCTTTCCTTGGGTAGATCTATTTTTGAACATCATAAAGCTTGTAAATCTTAAAAGGATATAGGAGAAGAGCCCTATTGTTCAAAAAAATATATTTTTAATCGTTTATAGCATTTTAAGAAATATGACACTGATACTAACGCTCCACGTGAAAAATTTTCCGAAAAAATATCAGCCCATCCCAAACCGGATAATAAGACAAATCTCTAAAGCTGGCCCAAAGGAATCATCCACGGGCATCCAGCGGTAAATTTGAGAAAAATTAGATATAACGTTATCTAAGCCAACTATTTCGCGATTTTTGACGGAATCGGGGCATCTTGAGAAAGGGCGGAAGAAACCTTTTCCAACTAAAATTCAAAGAATTTGCAATATCTCTTGTATATGAAATATCGTGTTGAATTGACCTGATCTTATCAAAATTAGACGGTTAATCAGTGGAATTATTTACTTCGGAGCTTTGAAACAGAGATTAATCGTATTATACCTCAATATACAAGGTACAATAAATGGTAAAAGGTGTGGCAGATTTTCGAATGAGATATGGCAAATTCTTTAAACTTTAGCTGCTAAAGGTTTCCTTCGCGATTCTCTTCCAATATGCCCCGATTCCACCAAACATCGTGAAATAGTTGGCTAAGATAACGTTATATCTAATTTTTCTCAAATTTACCGCTGGATGCCCGTGGATGATTCCTTTGGGCCAGCTTTAGAGATTAAGTTCAAAAATGGATCTACCCAGGGAAGGAATATTTCTTTGTTCTATTTTCATTATTAGTCCTAAAAATAATGATGTAAAATTTCTTATAAATTAAATTAATAATAATATTTACCAAAGTACAATTAAATTTTTTATCAAAATTAGATTTAACTTAAACAAATTTTAATAAAAAATGGTCGTTTCCAATTAGTTGTCGCAATTTCTTTGATGTATCTTTGGGCGATTTTCACCAAATTCAAAATTGAAAAGGAATTAAGAAATGTTCCACAACAAAATGCATTTCATTTTATTATAACAACATCAATTTATAAAATACATGAGTTTCGAACTGAAAATCTAACATAATATTTTCATAATATTATACAAATCATGTCAAGCTGTAATATAAAGAGAGCGTTTCCAATTAGCTGACCACAGCTGTATATATGTTTGTTTGGAAACAGTGGTAAAAGTGGTTGGAGCTCCAATAGTTAGGTACCGAATGACAACACCTTTAGGTATCAACTGACAAGCACCAATTTCTGTTTTACGTGACATTCACGTTTAACGATTTCCTATTTTTTACTAGTTAAATATTTAAAAAATAATTAAGAAAAAAATTAAATTGTAATTTTTCTAAATAAATTGTACATCTAAACTCCTTTTCCCAATTATTATAAGACATTACTTGATTATTGTAGTATTTCGATCTTTACAGATAAACTAAAATGGATAAAACTTCTCAGTGTGAAGAGAGCCAGAAGTCCACAAGAAATGTACATCATTCATCGAATATATACGGCGATAATGGGCTAGGTCTTAAAATGTCGGAGTGCAAAACAAAATCTTTAAGAAATATTTTGGGATCATCTATTAGTTTGGACCAATTTCCTTTTTATACATCAACTGATGAATTATCTGGTCTATCTAAAACTTGTTCGAATGACACAGTACAAAATGTCTGTGAATCTTTTGATGATGATGAGTTAAGTGACAATGATTTAATAGAAATTCAGAGTACTCCATCAGTTTTTAAAAACATCCGTTATAGAAATCCCAATAAAAATGCCAATTTGGAAAGAAAAAGGAAAAATTCTCTGGAAAGTCCACTTTGCGAAAACAATTTTTTAAACTACATTGATGCTGTAAAAGACAATGAGGAATTAGTTGTGCAAAACGTTCCTTGTAATGTTAATAAAACCACATCCGAGAGCGAGCAGGAGATCATCGAAGAATGTTTATTAGACTTAGATGACTACCTTGAAAAAATGGATGAGGGTTGCATTCAAGACGCTGGATGTGATTTTAATACAAATAAATCTGTAATCATTTCAAAAAGCAATTCACCAATAACCCATAAAAGTAATTCTTCCAAAACAAATACTCATTTTGAACGTAATTCCAAGCAAAGGAATACTATTAGCAGTATTTTAAACAACACAAAGATTGGTAAGTAAATTATGGTATTTTTGTATCAACTATTAAAAGGACATAACATATTGAAATATTGGTCGTAGACCTACAAAATTTATTCTGGGTCCATATTTGATACTAAGACAAGTGAAAAAATTTGTAAGAACCAAAATCTATAATAGGGATATGGCCACATTAAGGTCCTCTTCAGATAATGACTATCGTTCACAAACTGCTTAACAGTACATAATACAGAAGTTTTACATCATTATACCCTACACCACTTTAGTGGGGAGAATATGTGCTGATGTTTGTAACATACAAAAATATTCGTCCTGAGTCGATTAAGCTATGTTCGTCGGTCCGTCTGGCTGGCTATCTATGTAAAACTTGTGCGCAAGGTACAGGTCGCAATTTTCAGGATGAAATTGAGAATTTCCATTAAGACAATTACAATTGAAATTGAGAAAATTCCAAATAAAACTGAGAATTTTAATTTCAAATTGTGAAAAGTCCAAGTAAATTTGAGAATTTCAAATTGATGTTGAGAAACAAAGAATATAAGAGTAGAAATAGAAACCTGCGGATGCGGTTGTATTTTCGGCGGCTGGGATTTGGGATTTGTAGCCATTTTATTATTTTTTGTTTTTGTATTTTATTGTTTATTTATTCAACACATGATTTTCGTTCATAGAAGTACGAATGACATGGCAACTCTAAATGTGAGAGAGAAAAAATTCGTAAACAAATTAAAATAAATTTTAATTTGATGCGGATTTCTTCTACGATTTAAGTTGTCAAAACTCAATACAAAAAAAATAATCGCGGAGCCGCAATATTGCATTTCTACTCTAAAATAGTTGGACTATGACATTGTTTTACAATAATAACATTTCCTTCTCTTCACATATGAGTTCTGTGTAAATTTAACGCACTTGTGAGAACTTACTTCTCTCACAATACTTCCGCGAAAATATCAGAATAATAGGACTTGCAAGACATTTTTTCACAGGCACATAACAATTTCAAATTTTTTACACTCTCTTATCGCATTTAACAACCCAAAATATTTTTATTTTTAAGAGTGTGTGCCAAATGATAGCAATTTACTGGTAAAAGTAAATGTTGGTATTGAGTATGAAAAAATATTTTAAATAAACTTAATTTGTTTCAAAAAAGGTATTTAAAGTCCGACAAATATGTTTATTAAATATTTTCTGATCAGATTTTGGCTAAAAAAACAAAAAAACTACGAAAGTAGAAACTTAAATGTTATATATTTTTCCTAAAAATGTTTATGTACGATTATGCAACTATGTAGGTTTGGAAAGTGTGGTGAAAGTTGTCGGAGCTCCAATACTTATAGGAAAATACTACCAATACATTCTAAGAGCTAGGTACCGATTGACAACTCCTTTAGCAACTGACAAGCCCCGATTCTTTATATTTTTTATTGAGGAAATTCGAAATGAAATTTAAAATTTTAATTGAGAAAATTCCAATTAAAATTAAGAATTAATAATTCATACGGAAATTTAAAAAATATGGTCGAAAATATGAGACAAGCACTTGTTTGAGATACGATAAATTCAAGTTCATCTTATTTTATTAAATTTAACCCGAAAACTTAAAACGTAAGCTTGTTTTTTATCCTCCATATATTAATTTGAGACTCAACAAATAATATATTTCGTTCCCTTATAAAATTCTGAGTCGAATTAACTATGTCCGTCCGTCTGTCTGTCTAAAAAAATAACACTGTCCGACAAAATGAGAAAAAAATCGTCAGACACGAACCGGATAATATACGTCTGAAACTATAAATTTAATTTCGTGATCCTGTGTCCTTTTTAAGAACTTCAAGGTTTTAAAAAGTACATTTTTCAAAAAATATTTTAGAATACTTCTACCGATCAAACAATGTCATATTTGATGACAAGGACGAACATACGAAGGATACTTCTTACGAGCGCCTTGAACTGACATTTCACTTTTGCCCTCCCCATAATATTAAAATAATCTTGGGTGACTTTAATAGGTAGGGAGGGTATCTTTGGCCCTACTGTTGGTAAATTCAGCCTCCACCGGGAAAACACCGGCAACGGTATGAGACTGACAGACTTCGCCGAGGCAAAGATTGATTATCAGGCTTGACAACCATAAGGCTACGTGAACATACCGAGATTAACTCACTAAAAATCAGATTGACGTAACTCCCTTTTCTTTTATGAAAGTATAAAAAATTAAAAATTTGAGGGTATTTCTTTAATATCCCATATTGGGAAGACTCTTTTTAGAATTAAATTTGAATCGGCTTCTGCTGCCAATTTTTTTGTCTTATATGATTTTTCGTCCATGGGATATAGGGCATTTATTCCTAACTCTTTCGTTTATTCCTATGGTGACATAAGAGGCATTCCCTCTTTTTACACCGATGAATTTATGAAGGAAAATATTATTTCTTCAGTTCCCATTATAACTGTTGAACGTTTTCGAAAATCGAAATGTCCAAAATGGACCTAGGAAATAGAGACTATCGTGAAAGCAGGTTCTAAACACCTTTCCGATGTATGGGTATGATGTCTTTAAGGAATATGAAGATGGTTGGGAATATTTTGGACAGGGACGGTGAGATAAATAAAATACTAACGGCATGAAAATTCAGTCGTAGTGTTAAGACTAGGCCTCCTCCTAAACTGAATAAACCTATTCCACAACTACAACCGGTCAGCACGAATCCGACTACGCCGGTAATTTACCGGAAGTTGGATAAAGTTACTCATTTTGAAAAGCTGATATCTGAAATGACGAAAGTTATGAAGGATTACTTTTCTGAGAAGTGTGAGAGTTCGTATGTTAGAGTTTTGGACGATTTTAAAGTAAATGCTCGGTCTCAGACTGCGTTGACCAGTTTAACGCAATGAAATTACTGCAGTACAATGTACAAAGTTTAGTTTCTAACAAAATCTCAATTGAGTTTTACATTAATAATAATTCTGATGATATATGTTTTTTCTCTGAAATTTTTAATTTTGATGATACCAGCTCCTCGGGTTGACTTTTGAATTTTGATACATTTTGTAAACTCAGGGATGATGGCTATGGTGGATGTGCTATAGCTGTCAATACTGAAAACCCTGAAAATTAGGACCAATCTTGTATTAGTATCTGTCTATCTTTCCCAAATCGTTCCAACCGTCTTCCCTTAAATGTCTGTTTTACAAAGTTTAGAAGACTACTTGATTTTGTTGGTAAATTTTCGAATATCATTATCGCTGGTGACTTCATTGCCCGCTCCACTCATTGGGGAGATTATTCTGATTCCCCTAGGGGTAACCTTGTCCATCGTTTAATTTCTAACTCTGTTTTCACTTGTTTGAATGACGGATCATCCACACTTCTTCTTGATAATCCCAATGGCACGGTTCTAGATTTGAGCTTCTCAAATTGTGATTTTGCTATTTCCTGAAAAAACTCACCAATGTCCTATTATAATAGAATTTGAGATGTCTAGCCCAGGCTCTACTTCTGCTTTCTTCTGATTTTTATGTGACGGAGGAGACGTTTTCGTCCGATATTTCTTCTGCTACTTACAGGATTTCCGGTGTTCACACTCCTAAGTACTGGTGGAATTCGGAATTATGTGCTCTTTTTCGGCTGCATGTAGCTGCAAGAAAAAAGGCCGGCTTTCCGCAATTGGAAGGATGCAGTGATGAAGGTTAAATCGGACTCTATTCATCGTAGGTCGGATGAGCTAAACGCTCAGCCAAATACTTGTAGTGCTTTGAGATTCGTAAATGGTGTCAAGAATTCAACAAATTCTCGACGGTATTTATGGGATGAAAGTGATAATTTACCACATCTTGAACATCTGAGGGCACAGGTTCCGGATAACGCACTGATTGAGTTTTCTAGGATGCAGATTGGTCCCTCTTCTCCTCTAACTAGATTTGAACTGGATGACATTTTGGAAAGCAGAAAGTCAAGATCGGCTGGATGATGTGATCGTGTCAATTATGACATGTTAGAAGCCCTATCGACACAATCCAGAGATTCCCTATTGCATGGCTTTTAATGTCTACATTTGCAATTGTGAGATCAGATCTTCATGGAAGGATATAAGAATTGTACCTATTCCTAAAAGGGATAAGTACTTGGAGAATTATGTGCATTTTCGCCTGATTGCCTTAATATCGGCGTTTCTTAAGACAATCATCTGATAGTGAAAAATCGTCTTATATCATTTATAGAGGAAAATTGTATGCTCCCGATAAGATCATTTGCGTATAGAAAAAATTTATCTGCACCCATTTGTATCAATGAGCTACTCTTTAGGGTTACTCTATTGAATCCCAAGGTTTTAAGGTTGATGCCTGTGTGATAGATATAACGAGTGGTTACGATTGTGTGAACGTTGGCCCCCTATGTGGTATCATGGTAGCTAATGATATTCCTTTTAACATTGTTGACTGCGTTGTTAATTTCCTATCGGATATAAATTTTTGTTTAGGTAAGAGTTCTATTAGGTTAGGTTAGGTATTCCGGCTGCAAAGACGCACACTTGGGTCCTGTTGGTTCCTTTGTGATACCTGTAAAGATAATATAGATAAAAAAGAATGAAAGGGGATAGTTTTAGGGTTGAGTCATAAAAGAGGTGTAGAGTAAGCATAGAATGAAATACTGAGAGTAAAGAAGAAGTTCTGACAAATCGTCAAATAGTCGCTTTCCTGGATATATGAATCGAATGTCTGCTAGCGCAGGTCATTGACAGAGAAGATGTTCAATTGATTCTTCCTCCTCATCATTTTGACAACTTCTACAGATGTCGTGGGGTATACCAAGTCTTCTTGCATGGTTTCCAAATGAGCTATGTCCCGTGATGACAGCGACAAGTTCGCTGATGTGAGGACGGTTTAGTTGCAAAAGATATGGCGACGTGCGATTACAGTCCAAACTTGGCCATATCTTCCTGGTGCTGATACAAGTTGGTTCATTAGGCCATCTTGCCTGGGAGAGTTCATAGAACTTTTCATCTA